CTGCGCAGTGGGCAGATGATGCTGGCCCAGGGCCTGCTGCTGCATTTCCTGCCCCGAGGTGAGCGGTGGAAGGGAAGGGCGCCCTAGGAGTGTCATGCCAAGTACACAGGGCAGCAGGGTCAGAATTGTTTGTAAACTAAACTTAAAGGTATGTGAGATTGTGTGCAAAGTATGTTTTGGAGGGGAGTGAGAGTTGATACAACAAGTTTCAGGAATGTGAAAATTGTTAAACCTGGGGTCTCAGGAGCATTAGAATTGTACAGAAAGCATGAGAAAATGGGAACTGTGACCCCCCACCGCCCCATCGGCACCCTTTGACTCTGTACTCCATCCCCGCCAGACTGGACATGGGCCGAGGGCACGGGCCCGGGCCCCTCTGAGCCATCAGGGTTGGCCTCTCCCAACCGTTACCGTGGGCCTGCACGCTTGATGCCCCCGCGCTGGGCCCAGGGCACCCCTGAGCTGGAGCAGGAACGTCGGCACCGGCAGATAGTGTCCTGGTTCGCCGACCACCCCCAGGCCCCCTTTGGCCTACACCGGCTGGTGGAGCTTGGGCAGAGCTCAGGCAAGAAGGCGGGGGACTGGTATGGGCCATCTGTGGTGGCACACATACTCAGGTGAGGGCTGTTGCAGGGGACACGGGAGCCACTGGGTTCCCCCAGGCACTCAGGCCTTCCCTCTCACCCCCCAGGAAAGCTGTGGAGAGCTGCTCAGAGGTCACCCGCCTGGTGGTGTATGTTTCTCAGGACTGCACAGGTAAGAGACTGGAAACCAAGGTCCCAGAGTTCTCACCCTGAGCCAATCGCTACCTCAGCTGCATCTGAGGACTTACCTTCTCAGAGGCTGAAATGAGTTCTGGGGCAGAGGAAGCCTTGGAAAGGATTCGAGGTGCACACAGTGGGAGGTGCTCAGGATCCCTCCTCCACTGCCTCTGGAACCTGCAGAGGAAATGTTAGGGGTTTCTCTGCCAGTGATAGAATAGAGGACATAAGGCTTCCCTCTCTCAGGACCAATTTACTTTTACTCTGTAAACAATTCTAACATATACAAAAGTCTGCTCTCTGCCTCACAGGATTGTTATAAGGATTAAGTGAGTAAATAATACAAGTTAAACCATTTGAGCAGGGCATGTCACATAGTGAGTGTTTGCTAAATATTAGCTATTATTGTTCCCCACTATCCCCCAAATCAGTTTCTTTCTTTCTTTTTTTTTTTTTTTTTTTATTTATTTGACAGGGAGGGAGAGAGAGCAAAAGCAGGGGGAGCTGCAGGCAGAGGGAGAGGGAGAAGCAGGCTTCCTGCCGAGCAGAGCACCCGACATGGGGCTCAATCCCAGGACCCTGGGATCATAACCTGAGCTGAAGGCAGACACTTAACCGACAGAGCCACCTCCAAATCAGTTTAGATAGGGTCTTCATTAATAGGAGCCTCAATGGATCGGTGTCAGAGAATCTACAAAACCTATAAATTTTTATATAAAACTGTAGATGTTTGGGGCAATATTTGATTTTCACAGATGGTCACTATCTTAGTCCGTTTGGGCGGCTATACCAAAAATGCCACAGACGGGATGGCCTATGAATAATAGGAACTTATTTCTCATAGTTCTGGGGCCTGGGAAGTCCAAGATCAAGGCACCGGCAGATTTGGTGTCTGGTGGGGACCCACTTCCTGGTTCATTTTGCCGTGTTCTCACATGATGGAAGGGGCAGGCGAGCTCTCTGGGGCCTTTTTTTATACAGGCCCTAATCCCACTCATGAGGATTCCACTTTCATGACCTAGTCCCCTCCCAAAGGCCCCACCTCTTAATACCATCACTTTGGGGATTAGAATTACAGCATCTGAATGTTGGGGGGACACAAGCATTCTGACCATAGCAGCTGTGTTTCCAGCAGGGCTGAATCCACTTTTCTGGGAGCCAGGAAGGGGCTTACCTAGCAGTAAGGGAGGAGGTGGGAGAATGGAGGCCAGCAGATTGGACTTGAGGAGGAGGGACACGCAGGGACATTCAGCAGAGGGGCAAACTGCTTGGAGCTCCCATTTCCGTATTGGCCAACTCACACGCTGAGTAAGTAAAGACTAAGCAGGCCTGGAATTGGGGAGGTGCTCCGGGCTGTGGGGAAGGCTCTCCGCCTCCTCCTGGTTTTACGTTCTTCATCTAAATCTCAGGGCCTCAGTCACCTGCTCTGTAAAATGGGGCTGTCTACACCTGCCTGGAGGCCCTGGAATTGTTGGGGAGTAGAGTTTGGGGTGGGTGGGGGATGAGGAAGTCCTCCGTTTCCACTGATGGCGGGAGTGGGACCCTCCAACGTCGCAAGGGCACGTGGAGGGCCCCGCTCAGAGGCTCGAAGGGCGGGTGAGAATGTAACCTGCTGCATCGTCCTCCCAGTGTACAAGGCAGATGTGGCACGCCTGGTGGCCAGGCCGGACCCCACGGCTGAGTGGAAGGCCGTGGTCATCTTGGTGCCAGTGCGGCTGGGCGGCGAGACTCTCAACCCCGTGTATGTGCCCTGTGTGAAGGTAGGCTCGGCCAAGTTCCACTAAGCCTCCCCTGGGAGCCGCACAGGCTTCTGTAGCTTGGGTCAGGTGTTTCTGCTTCCTTCATCTGTCCATCGGTTTACTCAGTAGCTAGGGAGCACCCAGGACCTGCCAAATGCTGCCCCAGCTGCTGGGTCTCAGGGGCGAAGAGGCAAACGTTTGTGCCCTCTGGGAGCGGACATTCTACCGGGGGAAGGACAGACCGTGGGTCTGAAACCAAACCGATAGCTGTGGCATTAGAACCTTAGATTCTAGAGGAACGAAAACTAACACTGTGAAGGGCAGAGGGGGGTGGCTACAGCCTCGGAAAGCCCCTCTCCAGCCGGGGCAGATGAGGAGCCAGACTGCTCCAGGCAAAAGGAATGGCAAGGCTGGAAAAACCCTGGGGTGTTTTCACTCAGAATAAAGGCCGAAGTTCTCCCTACAGCCTGGAAGGCTTTGCACGAAGCCCCTGCCCATGCCTTGACCTCATCTGCCCCCACTCTCCTTCCCACTTCTCTCTGCCCCCACCACGTGAACCTCCTCACTGTTCTCAGAACACACAGGCCTCAGGGCCTTTGCAGCTGCCATTCCAGCTGCTTGGAGTGCTCTTTCCCCAGAGATGCACTACTAACTCCCTTTCTTACCTCCTTCGGGTCTTTGCCTCAATGTCCCCTGTCATTGAGACCTTTCTGACTCCCCTGCTTAAAATTGCAAAGCCCTTTTCCTTTCTTTATTCCTCTCCCAGTGCTGCTGCCTACTGACACACGGCAGAACTTACTCGTCTTGTTCCTTACGCATCTCCTGCACTGGAATGTCAGCTCCGTGAGAAGGGGCTGGGTTTGCACCCATGCGGGGTTTGCTAAGTGCTTCTCAAGGGCCTGTGTGACAGCACCTGCCCGGAGCGTACTCCCCACCCGCTTTTCTCCCTGCAGGAGCTCCTGCGTTCAGAGCTATGCCTGGGCATCATGGGGGGCAAGCCACGGCATTCGCTGTACTTCATCGGCTATCAGGGTAGGCCCGCCCCATCCCGCTCCATCCTGCCCCCCCCCCGACCCTACCCCTCCTCAGCCCCCCTCACGCCTCCACCCCTGCAGATGACTTCCTGCTCTACCTGGACCCCCACTACTGCCAGCCCACTGTGGATGTCAGTCAGGCTGACTTCCCCCTGGAGGTGAGCCAGGTCAGATCCCTAGGGTGGGGCTGGAGAAGGTGGAGGCGGCCAGGGCCCTGAGCTTCCCTCATTTGTATGCCCCAGTCCTTCCACTGCACCTCACCCCGAAAGATGGCCTTCGCCAAGATGGACCCAAGCTGTACAGTGGGGTTCTATGCTGGAGACCAGAAGGAGTTTGAGACGCTCTGCTCAGAGCTGACCAGGGTGAGCCAGGAGTGGTGGAGGGCAGAGGGCAGGGGGCAGTGAGGGGGTATTAGAGGAAGAGAGACCTCGAGTCCAGCGGACCCGGGGAATCAGGATGATTATCCTGCCCGCAAGCTACAAAAGCCTGGCTAGGGCTGACTGGACCAAAAGAAGGGCAGGAGATGAAAAGTTAGGGACATCATTGCTTGAAGGACAGCTGCATCCATGAGCTCCCCGTCTCATGGTTCTACTGTCCCATCAGGGCCTCACCCTCATAGTGGCAGGGGGTGGCCACCGGCCTTTCCGGGCACCCACCTCCCTGTTCAGTGGAAAGGGAGCCCTGCATTCCCAGAAGATGCCGCAGAAATCCTAGGGTTGCTGTTCATTGGTCACCCTGGGTCATGTGCCCATCACGGTGGCCAGGGAATGGAAGGTGCTGATTGGTTGGCCTGGGTCATTGCCCTGGAGGGATGAGAGTTGAGCTCAGGAAGCACTTGATAAATATACCTATTAGGATAATTGTACCTATAGGACAGTGAATATGGTTTGGGGCTAAGCCACTCTTCCCCCTCCTCCCGCCAGGTCCTCAGCTCCTCCTCAGCCACCGAGCGCTACCCCATGTTCACCCTAGCTGAGGGCCATGCTCAGGACCACAGCCTGGACGACCTCTGCTCCCAGCTCTCCCAGCCAACACTGCGGCTCCCTCGCACGGGGCGGCTCCTCAGAGCCAAACGCCCAAGCTCTGAGGACTTTGTGTTTTTATAACGGGTGGGGTTGGGGGAGAAGATGCACACTATTTATTTTTTTATTTATGTCATGCTGGGTGTGGGAGCTTGAAATCTGGAGGTGATGGGTCTTCCCGTTCTCACCTCCTTGACAAGTGCAGCTGAGACCAGTCCAGGAAACCTCAGAACTGGGGGCCATCCAGACAGGGGCAGAGCCAGTATGCCTCTCTCTGGCCGGCTGGGCCCTCTGCACAGGGCAGGGAGGGAGGGCTCCCAGACACCCACTCAGGGCCTGACTCAAGTACTGTAGTTTGCACTGGACCACCTGTGCCCCTCGCTGGTCCCAAAGCTCCTACCCTGCCGAAGTCTAGGGGTGGTGGGGGGAACTGTGGCCACTGGGGGCTAATAAAGCCGTTTAACTTGACTGTGGCTATGGCTGGCCCAGCATCTGAGGGATGGGGTCTGAGGTGTGTCTTAAGGGGAGATGGTGGGGGAAGCTTGTTACGTAGGCCTCGGCTTCCACATCTGTGAGACAGGAAGACTTCTCTGCCCATGGGTCCACACAGTCCATGAGGGAGATGCATGAGGAGTGCGATGGAAGGGAGGAACCCCAGGGCCCCTGCCTGCTCCCTGGAGTTCAGGGGCCGCTCTTGGGACCCTGCGGCTTCCTCCGTTGCCGGGCCAGCTGGCGGAAGTGCAGCCGTTTGGGGTTGAGGCCAAAGGCCTGCAGTCTCTGGCGGCTAAACTCATGCCCACCAAGTGTCACGGTGGGGCCCAGGAGACGCGCCTTCCTGCCCCTCCTCCGCCTCTGGGGGACTGGCTTCTGGGTGCGTGACACGGGGACTGTTTCTTCCTGTGCTGGGGGGCTCCCAGGCTGGGGCTGCTTCCTGCGGGCCCCATCAGGTGCCAGCAGCTGCCCGGGTGGGCCATCTTTGTCTCTCTGTGGCTTCTCTGTGGCTTCTGTAAGCGTCTCCGTCCTGAGGAAAAAAGTGGAGGCTCAGCCCAAGCTGGTCACGATTAGGCCAATTCCTGAGCACACATCCCCCATTTTCCAGATGAGGAAAGGAGGGGTTCAGAGGCAGGGCACCAAATCCAGGGCTTGCCTCGGGTTCAAACCCAAGTCTGACACCAAAACTGGGCCTCTTCTACTGAACTCTTGAGACTCGATTGTACTGCTGAGCCTATACTAAGCTGTTCGTGGAAATTGACTTATTACAGCTTTAAATCAGCTCTCTGAGGTCCTATCAGCCCTGCTTTATAGATCAGGAAATAATGGGCATAATAATAATACTAACACCTGTATGGTATTTCCTATGTTTTAGGCACTTTACATGAATTGATTCACTTCATCCTCAAAAACCCAACAAGAAATGAGCCATCTTAACCCCTTACCCTCATTTTAAAAATGAGGAAGCAGGCCCAGAAAGGGCAAGGGCCTTGCCCAAGGTCGCGCAGCCATGGCCCGGGACGAGAAAGGAAGCCCCATTCCGAGGCCCAATAGGCTCCCAAGCCCAAGCCCAGCCTCCTCCAGCCGGTGACACTCACCCCTCTGGGCAAAGTGACTTGAAGATCTGCCCCTTTCTCCAGGAGCTCTGGGCCCTCCGGCTGTACGCCTTCTTGTCCTGCAGTTCCTCCCGCTCGGACCTGGGGGTGCCCGGCAGACGCGCCTATTGCCGGGAGCTTTGGGAGGTGCCCCGCCCCCCGCCCCCCGCCCCCGGCACACCTGGCCCGGCCCTGTCACCTGTACATGCAGGTCTTCTTCAGGGAGCACCACCGGTTCAGCTCCTTGTCGTCGGCAGCGAGGATCTGCATGGGAAGGGTGGGTGGGGTCCTGCCATGCGAGCCCTGGGTCAGGGCGCGGGCGGGGGCCTGGCTCTCGCGGCTTCAGTCGCCTCACTGGTCAAAGGCGGGTCATGCTACTAGCGCTCGGCAGGGATGTCACCACAGCAGGAGAGGACTGCTTTCTGTGGAGACCACTGGATGTTTTTGGCAGCGGGCATCAGATGGGGAAACTGAGGCTCGGCAAGGTGCTCCTTGCCCTAGTCAGGTGGTCGGGGAGTGGCTGATTTCAGATTCCAGTTTGGGCCCCAGGGGTCCCAGAGCCTCACTCGGGCACCACGGTCCCCGCAGCCGCAGATCGGCACCAACGGCCAGGTCTGCCAACTACAGGTGAAGCCGAGGCTCTGAGCTGCAGGCCTCGGTTTCCTCATCCAGGAGGTGGGCAAGCCCCTTAGAAACTACTGAAAGGCTGCCAGGGAGGCTGAGTGAATGCAGAAGGTATCGGCTCTGCTGGCCACGACTGGTGAAGCCCCCACAGCCCCCACGGCTAAGGGGCGAGCGCCACTCCGAGAGGCACACGTGTTCACTAAAGCTCCACAGCCATGATGTGGGGGCTGCTACTAGGCCCATTTTACAGATGGGGAAATGGAGGCACAGCATCCTGGGTCACAGCTGGTGAGTGGCCACAGCAGGATTTGAATCTGGGCCATCTGTTTCCAGAGCCCACCCAGTCCTAATGGCCACCCAACTGCGGATATTTGCTGACAGATGTAAAAGTCCTATTTATGGCGCATTCTAGGGGAAAGCGCTGTTGGAAGCCCCCTGCCTCAGAGAGGCCGTCTTGAGGCAGGGAACGTCATCAGTACTGGTGTTTTCCAGAGAAGGAATGGGGGGGCGGGGGGCGCAGCATCTGCTGGCTACACACTCCCCCTTGCCCACGGGGCACCCCACCCCCCCGGGCGCTGGACACCACTGTGGGGCCCCACCTCCTCGGTGCTCAGCCCGAAGTCGCAGGGAACCACGGTGCGGTACTTAAAGCGACAGGGCAGGTCGTCGATGATGTCCTCGTAGTCCAGCCGGTAATACTCGTCCAGGTACTCCTCGAACGTCTTGTCTCCTGTGCAGGGCGGGAGCCAGGCTGCCAGGGTGTGCCGGGCGCCGCGGAGCCCCTGCCCGCCCAGAGCCACCCACCCGGGCCTCACCAGGGTCGAACACCGGCTTTTCCTGCCCCACAGCCGCAGCGAAGGGTGACTTGCGCTTCTTCTTGCCCATCAGGGGGGCCTCGCGCGGCTTTTTCCGCGGCTGCCTGGGGTCGTAGTCAGCGTCCATCTGTCGAGATGCCAAGGTCAGGCCAGCCCTCGGCGGGGAGGGGCGGCCCATGCACCCTCCTAGGTCCCCCTCTGCCCATGGCACCTACATTGAAGTCGGGGTCCTCGCAGTGCAGCTCCTGCTGATTCCAAGCTCCTCCCTGCTCAGGCCCAGCCCATGCGTCCCAGTTCCAGTCATCTGGTTGCAGAGGCCACAGAGGTAGGGGGTCAGGGGGTCAGGGCGGAACTTCAGACTTGAGACCCAGCAGCTCCCCCAGGCTGGTGCCCCCGGGGACCTCACCTTCAAGCCCTTCCTCTTCCTCAAAGTACGGCTTCTCCTCCTCCACGGTGCCATAGTACTCGTCCCCAAAACACCTCTGCAGGGTCAGGGCCCGGACGATCAGCAAGGCCCACTCCCCGCCAGACTGGTACTCCTACACCTTACATGGCTCCCAGCACCCTCCAGACCTGGCTGCTGACGTGAGGGGAAGGCTGTGTGACCAGGCCCCTCCATGGCCCAGTACCCCCTGCTGCACTGGGCACCATTCGGTTCCACAGAGCCGCCGTTCTTTCCCTCCCACAGGCCTTTGCCCCTGCGGTCCCCCTGCTGCCTGGTGCACTCCCTCCCTCCTCGGCTGCCTAACTGCTGTTCAGGCCTCAGCTGCCCGCCCTGACCCGCTCAGCACCACGCCCGACAGTCGATCCGGGACTCCTCTGAGACCCCACCTCCCCCTGCACGTCCCCACTCTGATCGCTGGGGGTCGTAACTGTACAGTTACGGGCCTGCCGTTAGATTGGGAGCTCTGGGAGGGCAGCTCTGGGGCCTGGTGCTCAGTGACTACGAGGCTGGTTCTTGCCATTCCATGAGTTCCAAGAAGGCTGAAACTGCTGGGCCCTTGATGAACCCCCAGCACCCAGTGGGTGCCTGGCAAAGGCAAATATTGCAAACTATGTCATTTATTAAGCACCTATTGTATGCCCAGTGCCGGGCTGCATCTCCCTGCATTCTTACAAGCACCCCCAAGAGACAGAAACTACCTCCATTTACGGAGAAACTGAAGTCTACGCATCCTCAGTCCCCTCCCCTGACCTCGTAGGCTTGGTCAGGGGTCTCTTTGGGGTTCACAGGGTCCCCGCTGCTTTCCCCATACAGCCTTGTTGCCTGTTTCTGTGGCCAGATGCTACGTCCCCTCAAAACAACAATAAACCTTAATGGCAACAAGTTTCAAGGAACCACAGCTACTCCCTGTTCCTTGAGCATTACCGATTTTTATGCGTACTTCTCTCAGGCTATCCTTACGCTGGCCTTGAGGTAGACAGTGTGATTGAACCCGCTTTTACAGGGAGAAAGGGACACACGCTCAGAGACGTCAAGTCACTTCTCTGAGGCCACACAGCCAGGAAACAAGCACGGATTCCAGAGCCTTGTCCCAAGCAGCACTGCATGGCTGGGGTGGGACACAGGGGCCGCACCTGCATGAGCTGGTCGTGCCGGGTGGGGTCAAAGTCGTCCTCGAGGTCCCGCTCCTCAAAGCCCAGCGTCTCATTGCCTGTGACCTGCCGCAGAGTCTCCAGCTTGGCCAGAATCTCCTTTCTCTTCAGGTTCTTCAGCTGCTTGAGCTCCTCCTGCTTCTTCGCTTTCTCCTGCGGTTGGCAGGCGGGGGGAGGGGGGGAAGGGGGCGGAGAGGGAGGGCGTGAGCTCTCCTCTAGGGGGGGCCACCCCCTCCCCCCGGCCTGGCAGCCCCGTGCTCACCCTCCTCTTTCGCTCCCGTGTCTCCTCTCTCCTCTCCTTCCTGCGTTCATCCTTGCGGCGCACAGAGGACGCGATGCTTCGAGGGTAGGTCTTGACCTGTGGGCAGCAGGGGGAGCCCAGAAGGGCCACAGAGGATGATTCTGGGCTCTCCCGGCGCAGGCCCCAAGGCCCAGGTCCCCCCCTACCTCCTCCCCCCAAGCCCCAGGCCCAGGTCCCGCACCGAGGCCGAGTCCGGCTCCTCGAAGCGGAAGTTGTACTTGTGCTCGAAGTCCTCCTGCTTCTTCAGAAACAGCTCCCCCTCGTCTGAGGAATCGTCCACGGCCAGCTGGACCGGGAGGCTGGGGCCCCTGAGGGACAAAAATGGGACAGGGCTGGGGGTCAGCCGAGCCCCTGCACTCCTGCGTACCAGCTGCGGTAACGCACTGAATCCTCCCAAGAGCCCTGCTTTGGAGGCAGCCCCGTTTTATAGATAGGGAAACTGAGGCACAGAATCCAGTGACAGGGCCGCCTAGCTCCAGAGCCCACACGCCGCAGGCCCTCCTCACAGGCCAGTAACTCCGCTACCATGTGCGTGAACAAGTGAACACCTGGTGCCCTTTGCCTTCCGGCACCGGCCCAGACACGGTTGCTCACCCTTCCTCCCCCTCTTCGTCTTCGCCTTCCTCCTCCTCCTCCTCCTCGTAACGTTTGTTGAGGATATAATCCCGCAGGAACTGCTCTCCTTCATCCAGCTCTGGGTTGTTCCAATATTCCTTGAGGTGGGTCTGGGGGAGAGGGGAGCAGGGAACAGGACCCAGGTCAGGCACGTGGGGGCAGGGACGGAGGGCGGGCTTGGCTCCATGTGGACTTAAGTAACTGAAACGTCACAGCCAGCCTATAAAGTAGGGGGGACAATTTCCACTTTACAGAAGTAGAAACTGGCACCCAGAGAGGGGCGCACCCCGTCTTCAGACCAGGGGCTCTTGGCTACTCCCTCGAGGACTGGTTTCCAGAAAAAGCCCGGAGGAGGACCGGACCTGAGAACTCACCAGTTCCTTCAGGGCGTCAGGGTTGTGGATCTCCTTCTGCCCCTTCAGCCACTCCACATAGTCCGCATCCTCCTGGGCCTGCGGGCAGGCCAGCACTGAGGGTCTGGGGACCCCTTCCCGCCACCAGCCCCCAGCCAGCCAGGCCCAGCACCCACCTTCTCCTCCCTGGTTTTGGCCCGTTTCTGCAGCAACCCAGAGCCGCCTTCCCCGGCACTGTCCTCCTCGTCACTGTCCTCCACGAATGCCCGGAAGCTGCCCATGGGAGAGGGTACGCCTCAGGAGACGAAGCCTGCTCCCCGCCCACAGTCCCAAGATGAAGCCTGTTTACTAAGTCCTGGGCTCTCCTCAACAAGCTCAGGGCAGTGCTGTGACATAGAGGGCGCCATCATTTAACAGATGGGGAAACTGAGGCACAGAAAGACGAAGTGATGTGCCCAAGGGCACACAGCCATGAAGTTAACAGGGCTGGGTTTGAACTCAGGCTCAAATCTGATCCATCTGGCTATTCAGTAGGCCCAGGCTCACCTTTCCTTGAGCTGTTTCTGTTCTTCCACGTAACTTTGCGACGAGATCTGCTGCAGAGAGAGTGACGTGGGCCTCAGGCCCAGCCCCAGGCCCCTCAGCCCCCAACCGGGGCCTCCACCCCACCTACCTGGAATCTCTGATCAGAGGTCTCTGCATCTGAATTTTCCTCATCGACATATTTGCTGTGGAAGGACAAATGGGGGCTTCAGGAGAGACTCCCCACGGCTCGTCTGTCCCCACGGGGTGGGGAGCTGTTAGGAGCAGCAGCTGGGGGGCAGGGTGGTGCAGATGGGTCACGGGCACTCCTGTTCTCTGGGGTCCCCTCAATCCTGGGGAGTCACCACCAGCTTCTTCCCACCTCCTCTAAGACCCCCACGCGTCCGCCTGCCCTGGGAAGGCTCGGGGGAGGGATGGGGCAGGGAGTCAGGCTCTCTCCTTACCCTTCTTTCTCCAGGATAACCTTCCTTTCATAGTCCTTCAGGTACATAGGCCGCATCTTCTTTTGCTTCCCTTCGGCTTCCTCAGCTTCCTCGCTCTCTGAGGACGATACTGTCAGGTTGCCAGAAGACACCTGCCATCACCCGTGACCCCCTTGGTTCCCCAGGTGGAGAATCCCACCGGGCGGGGCCAGGGTCAGACCACGACGTCAAATATCACACTTGTACTACATGGTGGTGGTCAGCTGTGCTCACTCAGCAACTCATGCTTTGAACAGGGTCAAGCACACAGTCATTATTAACAAGTAATAACCTAAAACAAAACACTCCGCTAAGCACTTTCGGCATAGAACATAAAACATATATGGTATAAGGGTTCGTTAAGTCATCACAAAAACCAGGAAGGCAATGAGGAACCCGGGCTTTAGGGAGGAGCAACCCCAGACCTGCTTTCTGATAGAAGGTGGCATCCTTCTGATAAATGCGGGGGTCCTTCTTCTTCAACAAAGAGAGAGTCCTGTAAAAGTCACGCTCTTGCTGGGGGTCAAATTCCTAAGGCATGAGAAGGATCGGGGATGACTTCAGAAGGGAGACGGTGAGAGCCCTGGTGGAGGCTGGGGGACACTAAGTAACAGGGCAGGTGGGCTGAGAGGGTGTGGAAATTAGGGTGTGGGGGGGCATACATTAGGAGGAAGGAGAGGGATCCAGCTGGACAGATGCAGGTTGGGGGATGGAGGGTGTGTAAGAGGGGCGGTGGGAAGATGTGAAGCAGGTGACAGAGGAAGGGGGGGCCCAGTGGGGGTGGACTGGGGCGGGCCACACAGAGGTACAGGATCTGAGATAGAGCAAGGTAATGGGCAAGGGGAGGATTCTTCCTGGGGACAAAGGATTGACGTGGGGGGCTGGTGAGCAGAAAGGACATCTGTGGGACAGCAAGCAGGGGCCGGGCTGCACAGTGAGGCCCCCAGGAAGATCAGGGCTGATGTGAGAAGGTGAGTGCCCCATGTGGCACAAGGATGTCCCACTTCCGGGCCTGAGTCCACCCTGACAAATGGTTAAACTCTTGCGGTCGCACCTCACACATCAGGATGGGCAGGTGGATGGTGGCGGGAGAGGGGAAGTAGGGGGAGCATCTGGCCACCCCCTGGGGATGGAGAGGGCGCTGTGTGTCCTTCATGGGACTAGGAAGAGGTGGATGGAAACTCCCGTCGGGTGAAATGGGGTTGGAAGTTATGCCGCCCTCTGTATATCGGGGTCGGGAAGCGGTAGGGGGCTTGGATGCTTCCCGAATGTACGGCACCGGGGTGAGAAAGCTCACCACGCGCTCGTCGCTAGAGTCAGACTCAGAGCTGGAGTCGCCGCCGATGTCCCGGTCCCCGTAGCGATCTTTAACTGCGGGGCACAGATGGGAGCCCCCCAGATCAGCGTGGAGGACCAGCTGAACCCCCACTTCCCGACTACCCGGCACGCGCGGCCGCCCCGCGCGCATGCGCCCCGCACTCACGCCGCTGCAGCTCCTCGCGCTCCCGGTAGCGGCCGTAGCGCGCGGCAAACGCCGCGTTTACCCGAAGGGGCGACGACCCGCGCGGTTCCGGCATGGCGGCTCTGCGGCCCACTGCGCACGCGTGCGGCGAGTGTCCCCGAAGGAGGCGGGGCTACTCTCGGCCCCCGCCCCGGCCCCGGCGAGCCCTAGAGGAGGCGGAGCTTCGCGGGCCGCGCCTAATCCTGTCCCCAAGCTTTCCGGGATCCCTAACGCCGTGCGACCATGATCCCCGCCCGCGGGTCACGCCTCTGCGGGTCAGCCTGCAGCCACCGCCCACTGCCCCCGCCCCCCCCCCCGCCCGGGGCTCCCGGCACCCAGCTGACATCTGGGGGCCCTTTCTCCCCTCGCGGTTTCCTGCCTCCCTTCCGTTCCGACAGCGTAAACCGCTGCCCCACCCAGCTCACTCAGCTCTGGCACCCTGGGAATTACCACTCTCTCCCCTCCCCCAAAGCACCCACGATCTGCGACCCCCTTCCCACCCCCCACAAACATCCTGGACGCGCGGTTCTCCATCGCAGACTCAAAAATCAGAAGTCACCAGCTCTGTGATCATGCACAAGTCTTAATTTAATGGGTAAAAACATTAAGTTATCACACAATTTTTTTCCACAAAGCTTAATAAATAGAATCTCTTTTTTTAACGCTGTACAAGAGACTGGAAAACAAGCTTCCAACAAAATATGAATGAACTCATACTATCCTTTTATTGATTTGAAACTCTCCCCCCTCCCCCATGCCTGAAAGCAGTGTGCACACTTGAGGTCTCTCTCTGGGTACAGCCAGCCAAGGTCGCCAGGTTCCAGGAGCCCTGGAAGTGATGACCTCACTCTGGGGCTGGGGCTTTAAACACTCTGCCCTTGGGCGTCTGCAGCCCCAGCAATCCGAGGCGCAGAGAAAACTGAACCGTTAGGTGGCTGTTGCCTGCAGGAGCCCTTCTCCGCCCAACACATCAAAAGGGGTGAGAAAAACAAATGAGAAATGTCCCTCAAACACACACACCCCACAAATCAACACCAACAAGCCACAAACTGGTGCCCCTCCATTTTCGACAGTGGGCAGAAGTGAGGGGAGAAAGTGTTTCTTCCCTCCTCTTTTGACACAGAACCCTGCTGGGTCCGGTTGCTGGAGTGGGTGGTCCCAGGTCACAGCAGTACTACTGTGTGCCCCTGCAGTATGTCCATGAGATCCTGAGCCCCTATCCCCTGCGCCAGCTCTAGGGGTGTGAGCCCCCTGGCATCCCTGTGATGGAGATCAGACTCTGTAGCCAGGAAGCTGACCACAGCCGTGTGGCCCTCTCGCACTGCCAGATGGATGGGGAGCGCCCCAGTGCCATCAGGCACGTTGACATCAGCACCATGCTCTACCAAAACCTTCAGGGTGTCCAGGAATCCAGTGCGTGCTGCATCATGGGCTGGAGTAGTGCCGGTGGTGTCCTGGACATTGGGGCTGGCACCTTGCTTGAGGAGCTCCAAGGCAATGGTGGGGCTGCCGAACATCATGACCTGTGTGGGGGCAGAGGGTAAGAGGTCCTCCAGGGAGAGGTTCCAGGAAAAGGGAGTCCCTGAAGAGAGGGGTCATTCAAGAACAGGAAACACTAGAGGTCTTCTAAAGAATGGGGAAAACCCAAAGAACACAAGCTCTCAGACAGCTGTTGGATACCCCAGAGAAAGACACCTCCTAGGAAGAGGGACCCCCAAGAAGCTGGTCACCCCCTAAGGATAAGACAATTGTCTAGGGAATAGCCTCCACGGAAACGTTCAAGGAACCTAAGACCCTCCCCAAGGAAGCAGAGACACGCCCCATCCCATGGGGGAAAGCATTAGGAAATATGGAACCCCCCAGGAAATAGGCCTCAGAGAATGAAAAATGCCCCCCAAAGAACCTGACAGCCGACTGAAGGGAAAGGAGATGCCCAGGGAATTTGAAATCCCTTCTCCAGTTAATAGCTTCTCCCATATAATGGGGTTGATCCCCAGTGTACCTGACGCCCTTAAGAAATGGGGTTCCCTTGTAAAATGCCCCCCCCCGGGGGAATGAGGAGACCCATGCAATGTGTAACTGTGCCCCCATTAGGGCTTCCCTTAATATACTAGGCATCTGGGGGAACAAACAAATCCAGGAATGGCGATCTCCCCCACGTAACTGGGTACCTCTCAGAGAACCCTCCAGAAAATGGGGACCCCCCTGGAAACATGAATCCTTCCTTCCAGTGACTGGATTCCCCCCACAGAAGCTCCAAGAAACAAGAGCCATCCCTATGAAACCAGGATCCAAAAACGCTGAACTCACACCACGGAATAAGAACCTCCACGGGGAAACTGAATCCTCCGCACCCAGAGAATAAGAAATCCTCCAGAGAAGATGGAAAGCCCTCCCCTCCCCCAACCTAACCCCATCCACCACCCACCCACGAAAAGGGACATCAGGGAGCAACATCGGCCCAGGGAAAAGGGACGGGACCCCCAGTCAGCCACCATCGCGACCCAGGAAACGTAAGGGTAAGGGTCTGGGGTCCCAGCCCCGCCCTCGCTCCGCGCCCGCCGGGCCTCACCTGCAGCGCCGTCTTGCCGAAGCGGTTCAGGGCGTCGGGGTGCACCAGCTCGCGGTGCAGAAGGCGGCGCACCTCCTGCACGTCGCCTCGGGCCGCGGCCCCGCTTAGCCGGTCGCCGGCGCGGACCTCTTCCAGCAGCATGTCGACACCGGCAGCCTGCAAAGCCCCCCGCCCCACCCCGGCGCCGTCAGTGCGGGGAAAGCCACCGAAGCCGGCCCGAAGATCCCCTCCGAGGCGCTCCTGGCCTGGGCGAGGCTCCCAGCCCGGCTCACCAGTCGGCGCTCGGGCGCGACCCGGGCCCTCCCGGCGGGCTCCTCCCCCTGTCGGCCAGCGGGTCGCCAGGGGCTGGGAGCCCGGCCCAACCCTCCGCCGCCCGCACGCCCGGGCCCGGCCCCCGCCCCTTGGGGGCCGGGTCTCCCCCCAACTCACCCTCCCTCCTCCTCGACGTCTGGTCTGAGGCGGTGTCGCCGCCGCTGCCAAGCTGGCCGCCAGGGGGCGGCGCCAGCGCGCTTGAGGCCCCGCCCCGAACGCTGCGGATTTGTTTTCTTATGAACTCGCTACACTGTCGCCCAGCCGCATTGCCCGGCTCGCGACCCGGCGGCGCCCCGCCCACGCGGCCAGCGCAGCCAATGGCCACGCGTCGCCGGGGGGGGGGGGGGGGGTTTTTTGCTCCGGCATGGGCGGTGTCGCTCCTGATTGGCCGAGCCGCGGCGACCGGTGGAACCGCCGGCAATGGCGGGGTTTTCGGTTTTCAAACTCGCCCGGCGGGCGGGAAAGGGAGCCGGTTTAACTGACCCGCGGGAGAAAGGTCAGGGGCAGGGTAGCGCGGTATGCCCCGGGCCGTCGGCACCTCTGGGAGGAAGGGAGGCAGAGCTGGGGCAGTCCAGGCCGGAGTTTCACCATTCAGTCATGCGATAAGCGTTTATTAGCCCTTAGTATGTGCAGAGGGCTTTGTTTCATTCCCTCGCCCGCTGTGTGCTGGCACCTGTCCCGGCGCTGGGGAGCGCACATTCAGGCAACTACATAATTTTAGATAGCGTTAAGCACCGTCAAGAAAATAAATGGGGAAATGGGGTGGGTGAGAGGGAATCAATTCTGGCTCAGATTGAACCAAACCTGGCACAGCAAATGCCAGGGCGAGGACAAAACACGCTGCGAGCCGCAGCCGCCACGTGGACGAGACTGGGAGGCGAGAGTCGAGGTCGGAGGAGGCATTTACAGATGCCTGCCTTCAAACATTTACTGAGCACCCTCTGTGTACTAGGCGTGCAACTGGAGAGCGAGCCAGCCAGGTGGTTCCTTCTGCAGGACCCCCACCATTTAGGTCGGGAGAAGACAGTAATTAAATCTTTACACGGGCGCCTGGGTGGCTCAGTCGTGAAGCGTCTGCCTTCGGCTCAGGTCATGATCCCAGGGTCCTGGGATGGAGTCCCAGATTGGGCTCCTTGCTCAGCAGGGAGTCGGGTCCTCCCTCTCCCTCTGCTTGTGTCCCCTCTCTCGCTGTGTCTCTGTCAAATAAATAAAATCTTTTAAAAAAAAAATCTTTTCAGAGGGGTAAATACTGTGGCGGTGATAAAACAGGTAAGTGATAGTCTCTTGGGAAAGGAAGGCAGTTGAAATAGGTCAGGGAGGGCGTCCCGGAGGAGCTGACGTTTGTGACCTGACGGTGAGGGAAGGAACCAGGTGAATATCTGGGGGAAAGCATGCCAGGTGACGGGCATTACAGATGCAATGGCCGAGGTGGGAGCACCTGTTGTGCACAGGAAGTGTGAGGACTAGAGGGGGAGAGTGGGAGGAGGTGAGGACAGGTTAAGTGGAGGGAGGGGTAGGGCAGATCGGGCTTGTGGACTGCAGTGAGCACTTTTTACTTTTCACAAGGGAACCGTGGGAGGGTGCTGAGAGCCACGACGGGACTTAGGAATTAAGAGGCGCCCTCTGGCTGCTACAAGGGAAACTGATGCTCGTCGAACAGGGAGCCCAAGGAGCCCAAGGAGCGAGGGGCGGGGGACTGCACGGTCCTAGATGTGCCATGCCCAGGCCTGAGGAACGGATCTGCGTTGCCTGCCCCCATCCCAGCACTTCATGGGTGTCCCCGGCATCCCCAGCCCCCAGCCAAGAATATACACAGCAGCTAGATTCATTCTTTTTAATACCATCCTAAAACTCAGGGTGGGCCAGGATGGCCTCTGGGCTCAGCAGCTGTGAAGGAGGGGCCCCAACACCCCTAAGGCAGGTCACTACAAGAAGGCACTCATGAGGGGGCTTCAAGACCCTCCTCTATTTCTTCATATAAAATTGGAGGGAGGAGCCCAGAGGCAGGAGGTAGGGAGACTGTTCCTCCCCAGCCTATGGGTGGAGGGAAAGGCAGGGAGGAAGCCAGGTTCTGGGTGCTGGGAACAAGAAACTGCTAAGGCAGGGGCCTTCCCTCATACACATCCCCCATCTTCTTCCCAAGTCTACAGTCCCAGCCTGGGAAGAAGGAAGGCCCCATGTCCAAGTCCCCACCTCTTTGCTCTCCTAGCTGGTACGAAGTTGATAATCTGCGGGGAAACAATGAGCAGAGACCATCTCAGAACTGGGGAAAGGGAACAGAGGGAAAGACCCCTCCCGCATTTATCTCCCACCCCAGTGCTCATGATCAACTCCATGGGTATATAACAAGGCTAAGAGTGGGGTTCAACACAGGGAAGGTAACCATAGCAACAAGCTTGTCTCCAGATACAGTTGGGGGTGCTGTGTTCAGTCCCTTGTCCAAACCCTATCAGTACCCTTGAGCTGGCACCCGCCCCCATTTTAAAGATGGGCAAACTGAAGCCAGGCCTGTTGGATTTTGGTGCCCTCCAAGCCAGAGTGTTGTCAAAGCCCCAAGACCATCCTTTGGATTTCCTTGACCCCAGAGGCCCAGGGAGCCGGGCTGCCTTACCACCACTTTGGGTGATGTAGCGAACCCATGGCAGGGCCTGGTAACCGCTTTTCTCAATGATCTTCATGTATCGGACCTGAAAGGGGATGAAATGAGGTGGCCCGCGTTGGGCAGAGAGCCTGGCTGGGGTGAGGGAATTGGGGGGGGGGGGGGATGAGGTGACACGGTCTGGGAGTGGTGAGGTGACATGTGTTGGGGAAAAGGTGTGGCACAGGCAGTGGGAGGAGGAGAGCAGGGAGGCAGTCCAGGACCCTGGGAAAGAGATGGCACAGTGTAAGGGAATAGACACAGGGTGGTGTGGGGGGGGACGAGGTGGCACAGGCCAGGGAACAGATGTGACCTGAGCGAAGGTATAGGAAAATGCGGAACCCACTGAGGCCAAGGAGAGAAGACATGTGCTCGCTACACTCACCTGGATCCCAGAGACGGTGAAATAGGGGATCTCAAACTTGACCCCAATGGGGGGCCGGCCCTCTACCTCCTCCTTCTCCACGCTGGGGAGGCCAAAGTGGGCACGCATCAGGTACTCCTTGCCCCCCTGAGGGCACATGGGGGCATCAGACACACCAAGAGGCCTCTCTCTGCCCCAGACCATCCTCAGGGCAGCCCCCAGAGCAGACTCTGTTCTTTGTCCATTTCAGACCAGAAAGTGAAGGTTCCTGGCCAAGATACAGCTGAAGCTTCTAACTAAAAAGCCTGGTCAGAGGGCGTCTAATGACCATCTCCCCATTTCCCAGGCCCTGATGGACCCCGCACACCACCCCATTCGCAGGGACTGACCAAATCCTCCAGCAGCCCAAGGGTGAGGGTAACATGATCCTGTCTATTTCACAGATGGGCAAACAGAGGCTCCATGAAGGGAAGTGGGTTTCCTAAGGCTGTCTAGCTGCGAGAGGCAAGGGCTGGTTTCCTCAAGACCTGGGAGGCAGGGAGCTTAACCACCATGCTGACCTGGTTTCCAGCTTTATTACCCCTAAAGGATAACCATATGCAAACACACGTGGATCTCTGATTTGTTCTCTGCCTTGCTCGCGAGCCACAAGGGCAGGGCCCTCCGATCCCACACCCACCCCAGTACTCACCGGGAAAGACTTAATACTCCAAATAACGACATTCTTTTCTGGCATGTACTTGGCACTGCCTACACTGGTCTTGAACCTTGGGGAGTCGGCGTCACTAGGCACGGGCACAGATATCTCCACGCCATTGGCCACCGACTGCTTCTTAAACTGCCCCTTGGCCTGTCAGGGGAGAGGGTGTGGGGCATGAAGAATTCCCTCCTGCGTTCTGCAAATATTCAGCAAGCCCTTTCCCCGCACAACCTCGGGGAGAGCCTCGGTAATCCTGAAGTGGGAACGATCAGCCAGCCCATTTTACAGATGAGAAAACGGAGACGAAGGGAAGCTAAGGCATTTGCTTGGAGACACACGGCCAACACGGGGCAGAGCTGGGGGTCACACCCACAGGAGACTCCAGAGGCTCTGAGTGCCTTCCTTTTGCAAAGTGTCCTACACCTTTGCCTGGTCCAAAATGCTAATGGTGCCCATCACAGAGGAGTTTTCATTTGAGAGCTGGCATTTAATGAGCCCCTAGCATGTGCTAGGCCCCGAGGCAACCACTTGGTCCTCTCTCTAATTCCCTAAAGTAGGATCCATCCCTAAGGTCCATTTTACAGATGAGGAGAATGAGGCACTTTGTACAAGTCAATTAGCTGGTACCTAGCACAGCAGGGACTTTAATTGAGCTTGTGTTGTCAACCATCGCATGCCTTCCTTACAAATAAATGAATAAGTTACATCATCTGTATTAGCACGTGACATGGGACAAACTTTGAACACAAGGATCTTAAGTGTTCTGTGTACAGTAGCGAGCATTATGATTACTACCACTAATGATGAATTTGGGGAGGGATGTTTGAGAGGTGGAATCAGGGGCTGAGGACCTCCAAGTAAACCAGAGGGATATTCTTTCTGGAAAGCACCCTGCCTGCAGGGATGGGGATACTGAGGGGGTTCAAGACCCTCCCTGGTGACTGTTCATTCATCTTGCAATCCAGCTTCCCTGACACCCCAAGACCAGGGAACAAAGTCAAATCTAAAAGCACAGACTCTCGAGCCAGGCAGACCCAAGTTCAAAGTAGGTCCCCTCCCTTCCTAGATGGGGGACATCTGCATCCCTCCGAACCTCAGCTTCCCCATCTGTACAAGAGGGCTCACTCTAAGCTGTGCAGAAGCTCTTGTTTGGGACGCTGGGAGACATGCAAAGAGCTGTTCTTGGCAATGAGAACTAGAGTAGCCAAGAATTGGAACAATCCATGCAAGAGAAGGAACAGAAAAGATCCCCATGGTGGAATACTCTACGACTACAGAAAGGGATACACTAAGCTACAGCTCCGGGGACTCACGTTCAAATCAATCGTACACAACCAAAGCAAGTCAGTCCACTGATAGAATCAGAAACCAGCAGAACAAAATATTTATGGTTAAAAATGTGGGCGGCCGGGCGCCTGGCTGGCTCAAGTTGGTGGAGCGTGCAACTCCTGATCTTGGGATTGTGAGTTTGAGCCACAGGATGGGTGTGGAGACTACTTAAAAATCAGTCTTAAGGGGCGCCTGGGTGGCTCAGTCGTTAAGCATCTGCCTTCAGCTCAGGTCATGATCCCGGGGTCCTGGGATCGAGCCCCGCATCGGGCTCCCTGCTCCGCGGGAAGCCTGCTTCTCCCTCTCCCACTCCCCCTGCTTGTGTTCCCTCTCTCGCTGTGTCTCTCTATCAAATAAATAAATAAAATCTTTTTTAAAAATGTTAAAAATCTTTAAAAAAATGCGGGAGGCAAAACTATAATGTGAATATGCTGAGTACTTTCTTTAAACCACGTAAATATTACATGTATATGTGTATATTTGATATGAAAGTAAATAAAACATGTCAGTTGGTGTTAAGTCATAGGAGAAAAATAGAGCAAAGAGGGAGGTGGGGAATGATAGGGGGTTGCAATTTTATTTCGTATTTTTTAAAGATTTTACTTATTTATCTGAGAGAGAATGAGTGAGAAAGATCACGAGCTGGGGGCGGGGAGTAGAGGGAGAGGGGGAAGCAGACTCCCCACTGAACAGGGAGTCTGATGCAGGGCTTGATCCCAAGACCCTGGGATCATGACCTGAGCTGAAGGCAGATGTTTAACCAGCTGAGCCACCCAGCTGCCCCATGGGGTGGGGGGTTTTGCAATTTTAAATAGGGCAATTAGGAAAGGCCTCTGAGGAGGTGATATTTAGCAAAAAACTGAAGGAGATAAGGGAAGGAGCCATGTGGATATCTGGGGCAGAGAGGGAGTGTGATCCAAAGGGAACAGCCAGTACAAAGGCCCTGAGGTATCACCTTGCTTGGTGTGAATAAAGAAGCAGCCAATATAGCTGGAATGGAGGGAAGGAGGGAGACAGTGGAGGGAGGTAAAGTTAGGGAGGTGACAGGGCAGACTGTCGCAGGGCCTTGTGGGCTGCCAGGACTTTGGCTTTTAATTTCATTGAAGTGGGAGCCATGGAAGGTTGTAGGCAGAAGAGAGACACAGCCAGACTGAAGTGCTCACAGGTGCCCTCCAAGGGAACAGATGGTGAGTGGCAAGGGCAGCAGCTGGGAGACCAGGGCAGATGCAGTGGAGGGAGGACAAAGTGGCCAGATTAGGGATCTATTTTGCCCAGGATTTACTGATGGTTTGTCTGTCTCCCCAGCTGGCCTGCAAGCTCCTTGAGGGCAGCATATCTTTTATTTCTTCCTTCTTGTCCCTCAGTTCCTTTACAAAGTAGAGGCTCCCTTGAAATCATAGTAGCAATAGCTAACACTTTGTCCATCATTTAGACATTATTGAGAACCTACTACGTGCCTGACACTGAGGAAAAGAAATCACGCAGGGGAGAAGTAGACGTGATGGCCCGCAGAGCAGAGACCAAAGGGGGTGGGAGAGGGTGGGAGCCGAAGCTATGGGCATGGCTGCTGGAACAGCAGCCCAGGTAGAAGGAACAGCCAATGCAAAGCCCCTACAGGGAACCACGCCTGACATGTTTGAGAACCAGCCAGGAGACCAGTGAGGCTGGAGGGGAATGAGGAGCCAGGGAGGATGGGAGAGATAAGGTTAGGCGGGTGATTGCGGGGAGGGGCAGATCAAGCACTCTAAGCAACTGTTCCCCTGGGCCTACCTTAACCATGATCTCCACGCGACTGTGGGAGAACTTCTCAATGACGGACTCAATCCAGATCAAAGGCTTGACCTGCAGACAGCAGACGAGCAAGTTCTTGGAGGTTCTGAGGTCATTTCTCTCACCCTCCGTAGTCGGGCTTCACCCTGCTTCACCCTTCTTCACCTGGGTGCTGAGGCGGTAGGACATGAGCTCGAAGTCGCCATCGGGTGGGATGAAGGAGATGGTGCGGTCATTGTCAAAGCGAGAGAGCCGCACGCACTGGTGGAATTTCACATCCTCCAGCTCCACGGACTTGTTCTTGCTCCCTGAAACTCGGAGCCGAGTGGGCCAGCGGGTGACCCTGGAGGCCTAGGCTAGAGACCCTATCCCAGGTCGCTAGCCCTGCCTTCCCCACCTACCACTTGCCATTACCTGCCATTTTACAGGTAAGGAAACTGAGGCCCAGAGAGCATGAGTAACTTGCCCGGGGTCACCCAGCTGGCCAGGGGCGGCAGAGCTAGGCTCTGAATCCCGGGAATCTGGCTCTTGTTGTCAGGTTTTTAAATAGGATGCGATTACGTCCTCCTACTCCCACTTGAACGTCAGCTCCACAAGCACAGTGATTTGTCTTTTTTTACCCTTGTACTTGTGCCAGGCACCCAATAATGAAGCACTGTTTGCGCCAATGAGCCAGCAGCCGCAGCACTGGCCGTGACCAGCAGAGGGCACTCGAGTGCTTAGTTCAGAACGGGCTGCAATTCTCTGGGTCCCCGGATGGGATAGGGTCGGCTCCCTCCCGCGCCCCCGCCCCCCCCCCCCCCCCCCCCCCGCAAATGCTTACGGCCAGTGAGCTCAAAGAGCACACGGTCGTTGAGGCCAAGCCGCAGCTCTGGCATTCCCGACAGAAACACCTTGAGCTTGATGGTGCCCACGATCTCGCTCAGCAGGACGCTGCCGTTGGCATTGACCTGAGGATGCACATACAGGGGTCAACAAGCATAGGGCCTCCTCTGCTGCCCCCAGGCCGTGGAAGGAGTAGGGGAGAGGAGGGGGTGCTCACCAGCAGGTTGACAGACTCTATGACGTCGATGAAGACCTCATTCTTCTTGTACTTGATGCCCTCGGAGCGCCAGGACACAGCGTTGGTGACAGTGGGCGGCACCCGTGACTTGGCGGTCTCCAGCTTGTTGCCCTGCTGCGTGATGTACCTGTCAGGAGGGCAAGGGCGATGAGCAGCTGGACCCAGGGACGCTTCCCGGACCCTCCTTGACTTCCTCCCATGAGCGGCTCCCCCTGTGGCTGCCCCCGTGGCCCACTCACTCCTGCAGGATCTTGCTGTCCGTGGTCTGTGGGAAGCCAAAGTCCATGAGCTCATCCAGCAGCTCATAGACGATGACAAAGTTGTCTCGGATGCTCTCCTCCTCCAGCTCCTTGAAGTACTCAGAGAATACCTGGGGGAGGGGGCGGGGAAACAGACACCAGCGGAGGTGTGGCTGGGGCCTCACCCTTCCAGCCAGCAACCCAACAGGCAATTATTGAGTGCCTACTGTATACCAGTGCTCGGATATTAAGAATTCAGGGAGTCCACGAGCTTTAGGGGTTTGGGACCCCAAATTCAGGGCCTCTGGGAAGGTGTAAGCATAACCACAGCAGAGAACCTACCAGTCATCTGACATTCGAAAAACCCTCCATCCCTCACTCTGCTTCCAGCCCCACCTGCCTTCTCTCTGTTCTCACCTCGGAGTCTTTGCATATGCTGTCCCCTCCGCCTGGGACATTCTTCTCACAGTGGCCTTCTTATCATTCAGGCCTCAGCTCAAATGTCACCTCCTCAGTGAAGCCACTACCACCCCTCCTCCCCCTTGAGTGTCAAGGTGAGACTAGCACCCCAGTCACTGGTTCTCATAATGTCCTGTTGCATTTCCTTCAGGTCCTTTGACTCCTCAAGACAGGCAAGGGCCGTGCCTGTCTTGTGCACAGCTGTGTCCCCTCTTTGCTTGGCAGGGGACAGATCAATACACATTCCCTATTTGTTGAAAAATATTTTTTTTATTTTTTAATTAACATATAATGTATTATTTGTTTCAGGGGTACAGGTCTGATTCATCAGCCTTACACAATTCACAGCACTCACCATAGTTGAAAAGGATTTACTGAGCACCTTCTCAGTCAAGAATGACATCTATCAAGCACTCAAATTATTATATGATTCTCAAAATAGTACTAATGCTAACAATAATACCAAACCATTATTGAGCACTTACTGTATACAAAGCACTGTTTTAAACACTCATATATGAATTTGACCAATTTGTACAACAACCTCGAGGTAGGACTTGTTGTAACTCCCAGTTTAGAGACACGGAGAGAAGTGACTTGCCCAAGGTCACACGGCTGGGGGGGCGGTGCTGGGATTGGAACCCAGTTTTCTCTGGCTCAGATTTGAGCAGTCACTGTCTTGGAAACCTCCTTGGTCCTTGCCCTACAGGGAGAGATGATCCCCTAGCAGCTAATGAGAACACAGAGATGGGGCTTCGATGGAGGTGCCGGAAAGCTTCCTAGGAGAGATGGATCCTGAAAGAGGAGGGCAAATCGGCTGGACAGACAGACCAGCCAGCCAATGGGAAGCCAGAACCTACCTCGACAGTCTTGTAGAGGAAGGAGTACACGAGGGAGGCGTTGGCGTTCTTCAGTGTGGTGGCCACCACTATGGGCAGCAAAGTTAAGGAAAAGGTGCCATTTTGGAGGTCTCAAACGGGGCACGGATCCTAAAACCTCACCCTGTCCACCACCCCCAACCCGAGCCACTGACGTGCTGTGCAACTTCTATCCTCAGTCCCACTGTCTCTGGGCCTGAGCTGCCACCACCCCAGGCCTCCAGGAACCCAGCTAGGGGCTAGATACAGTAGAGGTTGCTGTGTTTGATCCACAGGAAGTGGACCCGGCCATGGCTCAGCAGTGGGGCCAGGGCGCCCTCCTCCTCCCGCTGCATGAGCAGAGGCATGAAGTGCTCGATCTCACTCATGGCGATATCGCCCTTGTAGTTGCGACTAATCAGGGGCTAAAGGTGAGCAGAGAAGGCCTGGTCATCGCTGGGGTCTGGGCCCCTTCATCCGGGGGCATCAGAGTGCCTGGTTCTGACTCTACTTCCTGGGTGCCGGACAGGGGCAAGACTCTGCTGCTCTATACCTCGGTTTCCTCCTCTGTAAAATGGGTACATCATAACAACAGCAAACGTCCCAGAGTCCTCAGTGAGGACCAGCCGTGACCTACTAAAGATTGGATGTTTGCTAACTGATTTGGATCTCACTACAGCCTGTCGGGTAGGCAGCAGCTTCATCTTCATGTGTCTTCATGTGAAGGATGGGGACACCGAGGTGTGAGCCATGTCTCTAACAGGTGGGGAAACCAGGAATTGAACCAAGACACCTAGGTCCAGAATTCTTGCTCCTGTCCAGGGCTTCACAGGCACCAAACTGGTGAGGTGGGGCCCATGGAAGGGAAGGGAAGGGAAGGGTGGGGAGGAAGGAAGGAAGCCAAGAAAAAAGAAAGATTCTAGAAAGAGAGAGAGAGAGAGAGAGAGAGAGAGAGAGAGAGAGAGATGATACCCACATAGCTGCTGTCTGGCAGGCAGTAAGCCCTCGATATTAACAGTACCTACTTCCTGAGCTTGTTTAGACCAGGGTTGAGAACCACGACGGCACAGAGCTGGTCCTCAAACACCTTAGCTTTCCACCACCACCGTTTTTATTGATTTGAAATGAAAAGGCGAAGGAGAGAAGGCTTCAGAAAGGGACAAGGCAGCCCCAAATGGGAAAGAGGGTCTCCTGCCCCTGCTGTCTTCCCCAAATAGGAATCGTGTGGATGATGGAATAGATGGTGATTGAAATAATTTCAGTGGACTGAACACCTCATGTTTGCAGCAGGGTTCTTGTGCTAAGTAGTTTACACCCATCCAGTGGCATACATTCTTATTGGGTGGGGACCTCTGTTATTCCCATTTTTACGGACAGGGAGACTGAGGCTCAGAAAAGCAAAGCTCCCGGCCCACGGCGCGCGGTTGGTAAACAGTGGAGGTGGGATTCGACCCGGGACTTCCAGGGATTGGGGGAGGGGTGTTTCCACTCTCCCAGAGCTTTCTGGAGCCTCCCCGCCGGCGAGGAGGAGCCGCCCCTGGGTCCAGGGGAGCGCAGACTCACCTGTCCTCCCCACCCCCACCCCCATCCCCCGCTCCCGGCCCACCTTGCCCTTGACGTCGAGGATGAAGACAGCCGAGGCGGACATGGTGGCGGCTGGAGGACCCGGGAGGCGGGGAGGGAGCGCCGGGAGGCGACGGCGGCGCCGCTTCCTTCTTCCTGCGGAAGCGGCCGCGCGCAGGTGAGTGCCCAGGTGAGAGCGTCTTAAAGGGGAGGCCTCCAGGTGAGCGGCGCTGTTGGCCGACGCGAAGGCTGCTGCAGGGCGGGGCCTCGGAGGGGACAGCTGCCCCGCCTCCCTTTCCCTTTGCACCCAGGAGGGCGGATGGGAGGAGTCTCCAGACCAACCAACCGTCCCTTCGTCCGCCCACCCATCCATCCACCCACCCATCATCCATTCGTCCGCCCAGCCATCCACCCACTCACCCCCAACCCATTCATCCACCCACCCATCCATCCATCTCCACCTGTCCATCCACCCACCCATCCATTCATGCACCCAGCCAGCCAGCCAGCCACTCACCCCCCCCACCCATTCATCCATCTCCATCCATCCACCCATTTAACCATTCATCTTGTTTCTCTTCTGTCTCTCCCACATGCACACCAGCCCCAGTAGAGCAGAAATTTTGTCCTGTTAATGTTTGTGTCCCCAGTGCCCCACACTGGGTACTCAAATAATATCTGTCCAGGTCCGTGGGGAGGGGAGGAAAAAATATATTTGTGCAAATCATTCATTCATTCATTCATTCATACAATAACGATTTACTAATTAATTTATTCTTTCATTCAGATATTCACTGACTAGTAAATTCTTTCACTGAGGAACTGTGGGTAGAACTCGGAGCAGAACAAATGTAACTACTTTTATTATTATTCCTAATGTTACTCTTATTCGTTCCAAAAGTATTTATAAGCTCCTGTTATAAGACACTAAGATGTCGATAGAATGGTGAAAAGATCAATGGTCATTATTATTGTGACTATATTCTCAACAAACATTGAGTACCTCCTGGGTGCTGGACTGAACATATGGAGGCTGCTTTCATTATGGTAATGCTGCTGCTGAGGCTGATTCATGCAGTGAATGAATATTTATCCATTACCCCCTGTGCCGCTATGGATGGCAAACTGCTCTCTTCAAAGGAGGGTGAAAGGCACACAGCATAAAAACCAAAAAACAAGATCATCTCTGATCATGACGGGAGATCATCTTAATCATTTGGGACGCCTGGGTGGCTCAGTCGGTTAAGTGGCTGCCTTCAGCCCAGGTCATGATCCCAGGGTCCTGGGATCAAGTCCCACATCAGGCTCCTTGCTCAGCAGGGAACCTGCTTCTCCCTCTCTCTCCCTCTGCTTGTGCTCTCTCTGTCAAATAAAAAAAAAATCATCTTAATCATCTTGATCGTGATCATCTCTGATCAAGAAGGCAAGTGAGGGGCGCCTGGGTGGCTCAGTCGTTAAGCGTCTGCTTCAGCTCAGGTCATGATCCCAGGGTCCTGAGATCGAGCCCCGCGTCGGGCTCCTTGTTCAGTGGGGAGCCTGCTTCTCCCTCTCCCACTGCCTGCCGCTCTGCCTATCTGTGCTCTCTCTCTATGTCTCTGTCAAATAAATAAATAAAATCTTTAAAAAAATAAAAACAACTAAAATAAGTAAAAAAAAAATTTTTTTAAAAGGACACAGGTTGGGGCGCCTGGGTGGCTCAGTCGTTAAGCGTCTGCCTTCGGCTCAGGTCATGATCCCAGGGTCCTGGGATCAAGCCCCACATCAGGCTCCCTGCTCTGCAGGAGGCCTGCTTCTCCCTCTCCCACTCCCCCTGCTTGTGTTCCCTCTCTCGCTGTGTCTCTCTCTGTCAAATAAATAAATAAAATCTTTTAAAAATAAATAAATAAATAAATAAATAAATAAATAAATAAATAAATAAATAAAAAAGGACACAGGTGGCCACTTTGAATCCTGACTCCACAATTGGCTCTGAGGCATTCGGCTAGTGATTGCACCTCTTGTGCCTCAGTCTCCCCTTCTGTTAAACGGGCATGAGAGTCTTGGTGCCACCTCTTCAGGCTTCATTCACTGCTTGGCACAGCACCGAAGCTCCCTGCACATCAGCTATTACAGACCCCACAACTGTCTGCCCTCCTAGCAGGATGAGCAGGAGAAGGAAAGGGAAATTCACTTCCAGCCTGGCTGGAACTAATCCTGCTCAATACAGGGAGGGTCCCAAAGGGCCGGAGGGTGGGGGGCTGGACACCTAGCTCACCCAGGCATCATCTTTCCTTCCTTCTGCAAACCCAGCCCACACCTTTATCAGCCTCTGAGGGTGGGGTGGGTGTCCCCACCGGGGACTTGAGGGAGGGAAGTGAAGACAGCAGCTGTTGCTATCAGAACTACCCACTCTCCTCCCGGCGGGCCTCTAACATGGACAATATCACAGCAAGGGCAACCCAGCCGAAGTGCACACTCATCGGACACGTCTCTCCCAATACTTCTTTCTGTCTTCTTCGATTTTTTTTCCAAGTCTGTTATTTTTTTTTCTGGTTGACTCTGGTCTTCCCATCTTTGCTTTTCCTGATAATTCAGGACCCAAGGGGAAGACCTTTCCTGTCTTCTTACATTGGAAGAAGCAGAGGCCCAGAGGGGTCAAGGCACTTGCCCAAGGACTACACAGCTGTGAGGCAATTGGGCCAGAAACTGAATTTGAGTCGCGGAGGTCAAGAGCTCCGCTGCATTGCCAGATACAAATATTCCTATTCCTAAGAACAGCTCAGCCGGTGGGGCGCTCGGCTTACCCAGGCCATGCCTTAAATGTCTCCCCTTTGGGAATCCTTCTGGAAACAAAGCCTTGAGTGAGGGAGGCCTATTATCTCCATTTGACAGATAGCATTGCCCAGGGGAGAAGAAAATGGACTGACTTGGACAAAGTTATGCTGTCAACAGTGGTGGGGCTGGAATCCCAGCCCTGCAAAGCCCAAGGTTTTATGCTGTCTTTGCTCAAAGGAGGGGCATTGCTGCCACTCTCCGTCCCATCTGCTCCCTGCTCAGGTGACCCAGGGGATTGCGGACGCTTCCAGGCCCTTGCCCCAGCCCATCATCACCGACCCTCTCAAGGGCCCTTCTCCTGGGTCCTTGAGATGTTTTTCAGGTAGTAAATAGCATCCAAAAGCCCGGGCCCAGAGCCCTGGAATCTGAAACTCAAGGTCTGTTTGGCTGAAAAATGCATGAACCCCAAAGCTTCAGTGGGGTCAGAGAACAGAGCAGCTCTGTGTGCCCAATGGCCCCGCCTCAGCTGCCATGTCCCCTATTCCCAGGGGCTGTGGCCTTGCCCCAGGTCCTCTTGGATGCCTAGAGTCCGCCCCAGCCTCCCCTCTGTGACTCTGCCTCTAGGCACCCCCTTCAGTTCCTTCTCCACGCTACTCAAGGGAGTGGTCTGAAACTCTGACGCTCCCTCACTCTCATATCCCCCTTGGCTCCCATTACCCTGGAGCTGCCTGCGGGCCCATCCAGTGAGAAACAACCCCAGCTGAACTCTCTCACGAGCCACCACCACTTGAGCTTGAACCCACTGCCCCAGACTCACTGACTTCCTTAATTTCGGTTCCTCTCTCTCCTTTTCCTCAGGCACCCACCGCACAGCACACAACAACGCACAGCGCCTGCTCATTTTTGCTTTCCTAGCCTCCAGCAGCGATAAGGTCTCCTTTTCAGGAAGCCTTCTCAGATCTCTCAATCCATGTTTAGGTCACATCCCTGCTCTGGGCTTTCTCGACTGTCCCATGCTCCCCTGCCCCAGCTGTGTTGCACCCTGTTTTTAAAAATCTATTTTAAGGGGTGCCTGGGTGGCTCAGATGGTTAGGCCTCTGCCTTCGACTCAGGTCATGATCCCAGGGTCATGGGATCTAGCCCCACATCGGGCTCCTGGCTCAGCAGGGAGCCTGCTTCTCCTTCTGCCTCTCCCCCTGCTCGTGCTCTCTCTCTGTATCTCTGTGTCTCAAATGAATAAATAAAATCTGTTAAAAAAATCTATTTTAAAAAACTATCTAACATAAACTTTACCATTTTATCCATATCAAGTGTACAATCCAGGGGTATGAAGCACACTCACAAGCATTGTGCAGCTGTCACTACCATCCTTCTCAAGAGCTCCTTTCATCTCGCAAAATGGAAACTCTGGGCCATTAAACCCAAACCCCCTTTCCCCTGCCCCTCCCCAGCCCCTGGTGCCCACCATCTACTTTCTGTCTCCATTACTTTGACTCCTCTAGGGAGTTCATATGAGTGGAATCAGACAACATTTATCCTTTTGTGACCAACCTGATTAAACCAATTTTTAAAATATATTTTAATTTTATGATTTTTTTTTAATTGAAGTATCGTTGACAATGTTATACTGGCTTTGGACACGCTCAACACAGCAAACTGACAATTCTGTATCTTAAGCAGTAAGTGTGGAGTTGCCATCTGTCACCATCCAATGTCATTACGATCTTACTGACTGTATCCCCTGGGCTGTACTTTCTAATCCCCATGACATAGGCATTTTATAACTGGAAGTTTGTACTTCTTAATTCCCTTCACCTAGGTGCACCCACTCTTCCCCCTCTGGCCACCACCCGTTCTCTGTATTTATCAATCTGTTTCGTTTTGTTTTGTTTGTTTGTGCCTTTGTTTAGATGCCACGTGGAAATGAAATCATATGGTATTTGCCTTTCTCGGACTGATTTCCCTTAGCACAATACCCTCTAGGTCCACGCAAGGTGTCAAGAATGGCAAGATTTTATTCTTTTTACGGCTGAATAATAGTCCATCGTATATATACACTGAATCTTTTTTTTTAAAGATTTTATTTATTTATTTGAGAGAGAGAGGATGAGAGATAGAGAACACGAGAGGGAAGAGGGTCAGAGGGAGAAGCGGATTCCCTGCTGAGCAGTGAGCCTGATGCGGGACTCGATCCCGGGACTCCAGGATCATGACCTGAGCCGAAGGCAGACGCTTAACCAACTGAGCCACCCAGGCGCCCCAATATACATTGAATCTTTATCCAGCCATCTGTCAATGGGCACTTAGGTTGCTTCCATATCTTGGCTGCTGTAAATAATGCTTCAGTGAATAGGGGATGCATATATCTTTTATACTTAGTGTTTTTGTTGTCTTGGGGTAAATACCCAGCAGTGGAATTCCTGGCTCATATGGTATTTCTATTTTTAATTTTTTTAAGAACCTCTGTATGGTTTTCTGTTAGTGGCTGCACCAATTCACTTTCCCACCAACAGTGCACAAGGGTTCCTTTTCCTCCACATTAAATCTCTTTCTTTTCTCTTTTGAAGATTTTTATGTATTTATTTGACAGAGAGAGCACAAGCAGGGGGAGCGGCAGGCAGAGGGAGAGGGAGAAGCAGGCCCCCCCACGGAGCAAGGAGCCTGACATGGGGCTCAATCCTGGGCCAGGTGCCCCTAAATCTATTTTTTTTCAATAGAGTTTTAATTACCCACATGAATATTTTCTCCTATTAAAGAGAGAGAGAGATGCCTGGATGGCTCAGTTGTTAAGCGTCTGCCTTTGGCTCAAGTCATGATCCCAGGACCCTGGGATCGAGCCCTGCATGGGGCTCCCTGCTCCGCGGGAAGCCTGCTTCTCCCTCTCCCACTCCCCCTGCTTGTGTTCCCTCTCTCGCTGTGTCTCTCTCTGTCAAATAAATAAATAAAATCTTTAAAAAAATATATAAAATTAAAAAATAAAATAAAATATTAAAAAGAGAGAGAAAGAAAGAGAGAACACTGTAGATCAGGAAACAGTCCCTTTTGCCCCACCCCCACTCCCTCCATCCTGGTCTTTCTGACAACAACTGGCTGGTATGTTCAGATCTTTTTCTATTAAGTTACATGCAAATGTGTGTGTGTGTGTGTGTGTGTGTGTGTGTGTGTGTGTGTGTGTGT